TTTTTTTTTTTTTTTTTGGTACTAGGGATCAAACTCAGGTCTTTGCACTTGTGAGGCAGGTGGCAGAACCACTGAGCTAAATCCCCAGCCCCATAGATCTCTGCTCTTAAGGGGTTTTATGTAGAGGTAGTGTAAGTATGGTTGGGGCTCAGTGTATTTCAGTTGGCTGAATCATCCTGTTTTCATGCAAGTGGTTCTTGCTCCTCTGCCTCAGGGTCTTTGCATGAGCTGTTCTTTCAATCAGACCAGCAGCTTAGCCTGACCACTCAACATAACAAGCCCACTCCCACTTCAACTGCTCATTTTCCTTACTTTCTTAGCCCTGTGACATTATCCATTCCACTTATGCCTTCCCTGTCTTCCCCCTGTGAAAATGAATGCAGTTTGAGAAAAGGGGCCATGCTGGTCCATTCTTTCTTTCCCTCAGCTAAATTCATCATCATACATGTACAGGGCACTGGAACATTTGCTCAGTACACAAAAGGGCTGCTGTAGAAGGAAGGGAACCAGGCTTCAGGGGTCCAGAGCAGGAAGTAATGGCTCCTAGGAAGACATTACAGGTGGGTGGGTGTCTTGAAAGGTGAGTGGGCATTTCTTGGTCAGAATGATTTTTTTTTTTCTTTTTGAGACAACCCGTGTAGTTCAGGTTGGCCTTGAACCACTATGTAGCACAGGCTGACCTTGAAGGTTTCCTGATTCTCCTTCCTCTGCCCCCTGAGTGCTAGGAATACCGGCGTGCACCACCATGCTTGGCTTTAGAATAACGATCTAAGAATGAGCCAATATTGTTTTTGTGTTTTGCTTTTAAGGGGTGTCAGATACTTGGAATTCATCATTTTATCCAAGTCTCCTAGCAGCTTGGCTCAGGAAGGCTTAGCTCTCTTAACAGGCGTGGTAACTGAGGCTGAGAGATACTTGGGGCCCTTAAGCTGTGTGTCTGAGCTAGGGTTCCATCCTGGTCTGCTGGGTAGCTGCAGCGGCCTCCAAGTCGCGTAGGAAGGGCAGGACAGGAACTGACTGCGCTATGATCGGAGAGGCGCACAGCCTGCTTAGAGGCTGAACCCCCATAGTAGCCCAGCGAGGTGGGAAGCCTCTATGGTCTCGCTGTGTTGGCCTCATAAACTCCTGGGCTCAGATCCTCCGGTGTGCCCAGGACCAGACCCGAGCCTCAGCCGCCTCTGACATTCAGCGCCCAACAGCTCCCCCAGAAGGTGGAAAGGAGCAGTGCATGAGCCCGGCCCGGGCGGGGACTCGCGGATCGCACAAAGAGAAGCCGAACCCCACTCCCCTCCCCGCTAAGGCAGAGGTCTGCCCCCATCTCGCAAGCAGCGCTCAGCAGCCAGCGGACTAGGTGCTGGCGATGCGAGGGCGGCAGTGCAGGTGGCCGAGGGAACGGGGGAGAGTAGGTGGGGATCAGAGGTTGGTTCTCCGGGTGACCACCCCTGAGGGCCCATCACCTCCCCACCCTTTCCCGCCACCTGGAGGCCGTTGGAAGAATCATCTGTTCTTCCCAACGCCCGTGCTTGCGAAAGCCGCAGGGAGATGATGTTGGATTGTGAAGGCCCCAGGAGTGGCTGCAAACGGGAAGTGGCGATTAACCCCTATGACGATTAACTACCGAGCGCCTACTATGTGCTTGGCACTGCCGTGTATGATCCCATTTAATTGTCAGAGCTTGTCTGAGTAGTAGCTATTGTTGTCCTGTATTATAGGGGCGAAAGCTGGGGCTCAGAAAGGTGAAATGACTAACCTGAGGCCCTTTAGCCCGTCAGTGACATCATGGCCCACAAGGGAACTCCAGTCTGGCTGTGGAGGAAGGAGAAGGCACCGATATGTGTGAGTTCACTGCTCTACAGTTTACACGGGCAGTCGCCAATGGATTCTACATCATCTTCACCCCAGTCCGCTGAAGCAAAGGATTACTGTCCTCCCTCTCAGACTCCAGCTGTAACCTCTTCAAGAGCAAGCTTGGCTTCTTCTGAGCTCCCACCGTTCTGTCGTGGCATCTGGTGCAGTGCACACTGCGCTTCCCCTCTGGATGCTCTTGGGGACACTCAATCCTGCATTTGTCTTGCTGGCCTCTTTCCTCCGTCCCCTCAGTGTGGCCTGGGCATGTCTCCTTAGCTCCACCATGCTTGTCTACAGGGTCTCACTGTTGGGGGGAGCACTGAGCTCAGCTTCACTCCTGCAGGATAAGAAAGGGTCTGAGCGTGTACAACACACGGGTGCAGCAGTGCCCAGTTCTTCTGCTGTCTTTCCCCCATGCCAGTTCTCCATTTACCCATCTTGGTGTAAGTCAGAGGCCACACTCAACGGGTGGGAGGATAGGAGGAGAGCGCTAAGCCTCATTAGATGGTTTATTAGGGGGTGAATTTGATGCTGCAGCCACCAAATTACATTGTCACTTTATCATTTGACTTCACAGCACTGCTAGTTTTCAGGTGAAATCGGGGGCACCGATCTCAGTGTGATGAGACAGGAGACACGAGGACCTAATGGTGTAGATCACCCTTAAATTCTGCTTTGCTGTGCTTCCTTGCAGCAGCAGTCCCTGCTCCTTTGCCTGTTGTTACTGCTGCAGCTTTGCCTGAAGACACTGAAATAGCCTTGTTTTGGAAGTTACTTTGCAAAGTGTTCTTATTGTTTGTTGCTGAGTAATGAGCCACTCCACACTTTGCAGTAAAACAATTTTGTTTTTCTTCACATCTCTGGTGGCCTTGCCTGGGTTTGCTCATTTGAGTGTGTTCACTGGACACTGAGCTAAGCTGGGATGACTGTGATCCTGGCCCTCTCTGTTCTATGTGGTCCTTCATGCTGGCTTCTTTGGGCACAGTGGCCTTGCTCCCTGGCTAACTTCCTCCTGTAGAACCTGGAAGACCTTCCCTTGAGCAAGACACCCAGAAGTGTATCACTGAGGGGGCATCTTTGTTTTTTGGTACCAAGGATCAAACATGGTTCTTGTGTTTTCAAGGCAGGCAGTGGAACCAATGAGCTAAATTGCCAGCCCAACTGAGGGGGCATCTTTGAAATATGTGGTGTACTTGTTCTCCACAGGCCAGAGATACAGGTGAAGGATGCTTCCATGGAATTGGGCTCCATGATTACAATGGAAACAATAGGATCCCAGTGCAGCAGCACTTAACTGTGTAGAACTTCAGACTTCAAGTGCTAATCTGCATGGTCTATCCTATAGGTATCTGTTATGGCTTATATCTAAGTGTCCCCTCAACGCCTTACATGCTCACAGGTGGGACTTTTCAGAGATGGCTACATCGAGGGTGTGATGCTGGGATAAAGGGTTTGTAGTAACTAAATG